TAAAGTGAAGCAGCATGTATCGTTTCTCCTTCCATTGGCTGTTTATCCAACATCAATACAACACTTTAGGAGCCAAATTACTAAACAAGCTGCCAATTAGGCTTGCAGTCAGCTGGATAGATTAGTGGCTAAGAGAGGCAGATACAAGATTTTCATCTCTTGAGCCAATTACGCAAGTGAATTACCATCCACAATGCTCCTTGGAAGATTTGAGGTAGAAAGACTGACTCTGCTGTGATAGACATAAGTGAGATCCAGGGTAGGGGGTAAGGGTTAGCAGGCCATGTATTGCAAAAATTACCCAAGCAAAAAGAGATCCTTCTAGGAAAGGATTTAAAGGATTTAAGGCTGCTGGGAGCGATAGAAGAGGAAATAATAGTTGTGGTATTCTCTGCAAAGGCATTGCTGTTCTGCTCACAAGTCTTAATCATATAAAAGAAAGATGAAAGGCCAAGACTATATTTATATACACTGTCATTTTCTCAGAACTGTTTAAAACCCCGTTTTCTTAACATCAAAAATAGTTCAGTGGCCAGAGATGAAATTACTTCAATATGCCTTCATTTGTTTCTTACAACCGGGGGGGGGGGGACCCCAAACAAAAAATTTTTTTAAATAAGAGTTATTTAAGAGATTGAACCTAGCTGTATTCTGATTTTATTCACCCCAATATAAACCAAACATGCTTCATTTTAGTCCAGCAGTTGGACCATGCAAATAAATATTGTCACAATGGTGGTTTATGAGGTCACATTCCTTTATTATTCTATAAAATATGCTAACTTAATTGGTGAACTTTTCATTTTTTTAGAAAGATTTTGCAAATAAAATGGATCTGTCAGATCAAAAACTGTGGACAGGCTCATTTGTTTCCTGCTGAAGATGTTGTACACTGGTGTAACATTGTTTCTTAAATATGAAGCAAATTTAAAACCTGAACTTTTGCAAGCTGTTGTATCCAAAAATGATTAAACAGATGTGGAGCCTGCAGCAGCATTAGACCTCTGATCTGATTTTAGCTTACAGATGGAATTAAATTAATTCATGGCAATCACTGTAAAATCAAGGGTATGGCACTGAATGCTAGTGTACTGTTTAACCAGGACATACCTGTCTCAACAGCTGTTAAGAAAAAATTACATACCTTTATTTTTCATTGAAACCTGCCTTTAATGCCATCATAAATATCATACCAAAAATTAAACAAATGTGATGAGTTTTTTGTTTTCCCCTTCCCAGTTTTGCCTCTTTCTACTCATAGGTCCCATATTCCATGTATGTAAGGTCATATGCATAATACGTGTAGACCTTGAAGCGTGTCTATTCATATACACAAAGGTTTGAGGATTGGCCTTTTTTTTTTATTTCATTTGGCAGTATTGCAAACAGAAGGAACGTAAGTGAGGGTATTTTACAGTGCTGTCTGTTCAAGCAAGTTACTGTTCCTCAGTGTTTGCTCCTCACTTGTGTACCGGCAGCCACTTCTACACGCAGACTACTCATCTGGTAGATCAGGAACCAAGTTGTTATGGTTACGAAAAACATTTTCAGTCTGTAGAAAGAAAGGGCTCTGCACAGAACATTCCTACAAGTTATTAGTACAGAGACTTCCTCGTAACTCCAGGAACCCCACAAAGCCTCATAGAGCAATAAACTTAGAAAAACATACGCCCGCTTTTTTTTCTTAATCTGATTTTGCATAGTTATTTTTTGTGGGGTGGCGCGGTGGGTTGATTTTGCTCTTGCTCCTGGGTGGGTCGAGACTGAACACGTCCCAGAGGTAGCACAGCCGGTTTCAAGGCCAATGTGCTTGGACCATTCTCTCTAACAGGCCCTACTGGCTAGTCCAAGAAGTGCCATAGGCATGAATTAAAAACTGAACTTGAAGATTAATATTGCAAGGACAATTACTGCTTTTAATTAGAAAATAAAAGCCCAAAGCACAGGAATGGGGGTCAGGGGAATAGCACACAGTGTAGCATGATTTTTAAGAGCTCTTCTGTCATGCAATCAGCAATACACATTTTTTTCTTCCGATTGCTGATTGGTCATGGAATGGAGGAAGAGAGCAATACCACTACCTGTGTTCTTCTGATTCGAGTAAAATATGTTATATTACAGATAAATTTTTCAAATTATGTGTGAAAATTGCTGGAATATTAAAGACAGATATAGATAGTATTTATGTAAAACCTGACTATACTGCAAAAGAATGGCCTGCATATATGAAATACTTTTCACAATTAAAATAAAAGCTATCCATATTCACCTTGTTTGCAAGAAGGAGTAATTAGTCAATTAGTAACATAGGCAAGTTGGGTGGGGTTTTGGTTTTTCCTTATTCTTGCTGCAATACATATCCTCCAAACACACTATCGTTTGGACAGTGTATGCTCTTTGATTGTTGGCCCAAAAGTGAGTTGTGAAGCCAAGGTTATGGTGGTTTCTCCTCTTTTTTTCTTTTTCTTTTTTCTTTTTTTTTTTTTTTTTAAACCTGGTAACATATAAGAAAAAAACAGAACTCTTCAGGGGAGGTTTCAGCCTTCTAACGGGAGTTAGAGAAGTATGTACAGTGGAAGGAAAAATAGTTATAGTATACATTCTAAAAGTACTTATGTCTTTCAAAACAAAAAATATTCCAATTATCCTGTCAGTCACAGAAAAAAAAAATATCAAGCTACTTCAAAATTTATCAAAAAATGGAAACATCAGTTTATTAAATAACATATCAGGATACAGATTGTTCTTTCGTATATCTTTTTTGTGAGGTTGCTCTGGCTGTCTTGAGAACTGAAATTCATATAGAAAGGTACATCTGTTACAGAAAAAGGTCTGTGGGGTTTTCCCCCAAATAGACTAACAAAAAGGCTGTTTACATTGTCTCAGGTTGTGCCTTGCAAACCATTCCAGCAGCATTGCTGTTTTTGCCTAAGCAGGATTATGAATGGTTTAGTATTCCCAAGTCTTAGATATATGAAAGATACTCTTACCCTTGCTCTTTCCTACTTGGCGGGTCTGTTGGATCTTTCCTCCCTTTTAAGTTTTTCCCATAATTGTTCCACAGATGTTCATTGGAACAATGCTCCATTTCTTACCATCACTTGTTGTGAAAAGTGGACCAAAACACACTTCCAGGATTTTACCTGCAAGGTTTACCGGAACTTTTGTTGAACAGTAGCCTTTTTTCTTTCCCTTTTTCTGAGCTAGAAAGTATAACAAAGAAGGTTGCAAAGCCTGTGTTGTGTATGCCAGGCAGTGTCAGGGACTCGCCTGTATGAAAATTGCCTCTGCCTGTGGGGGCCTGAAAAGAAAGGAAGTCTTGGACATTGAATTTTGTGCTGGTCAGTTCAAGAGAAACCCTCTCGGGAACTGGAGGCTGCTGACTTAAAAGCCTTTATTTTAAGCCTAGCATTAAGCATAGCTTCAAACCAGTATTAAAGGATGCTTTCTCTCAATGCATTTCCCTTTTTCTTTGACTCAGGAACTGAGATACTAGGAAGCCCTCTACCTTTTTTTGTAGCCAGCATTTTACTGAATATGAACGGATCTATAGTGGATAATGCTGGAGTACTGTAAATTCATCATCGCAATCATCATGAGGTTTTTCACATGCACCTCTCGTTTTGAACTTCTGTCTCTGTATGTGGTTTCCACTGTGGGGCTTTGCTTTTTTCTGTGTGTGATAAATGAGGCTTTTCAGATGTGCATATTCAACTTTTCCTGTGTTCTTATTTAGCAAGCTAATATAATGATGAGCTTGCTGCTTGTCAGTGGTAAATTCTTGATTGAAGACATGATAGTCTCCAAAACCACAGTCTCCTTCTACAGTATTTTTCAAAAAGTAGCAGGCCAGAATCAATAGGTAGAAAGTTAAACAGATAATATTTGAAACTGGGCACGTGGTAGGGGTTTTTTTGTTCTTTTGTCAGGGGGCAGGGAGATGTTGAGCAAAGCTGAAAACAAAATCCAGCTGCCTACCTGCAACTGCTTGTGTTAGTTCAAAAACTTCAGCCCTTTTTAAGATTGTTTGCAATGGTGTAACATGCAGGTTATTGAAATAAGTATCATTTGTATCCCTCGTGCAAGACAGTTATATATGGGAAGGCTTATCTTCTCTAGCTTGAGGAGTTTGGCTGATGAGGGAAAAAACCACTTTGTTTCTTGACTTCACTTTTTTTTTTTTATGATGCATTCATGGAAGAAAAAAATTGGTTATTAAAAAAATGAATCTGTTATATTAACACTTGCAGTCCTGATGATCTTTTCTGCATTTCTGCAGTATGTATGCAGCTTTTCTCAGAGAACTTGACGGTGTCACGACCCAGACATTAACTCTTTCAGTCTCTCACAGATGGTATGGAGAGAAAAGTGTAAACAACACTAAATGGCATTGAAAATACCAAAAGTAAACTGGGATGTATCAAATCTGTCTTACAGTGTTCTGTAAAAGAGAAACTGAGTAAAGATACAGCTGAATTTCAGAATAGTAGACCACTTGTCTGTACTTTTTCTGTAACAGCTATAATTGTTTAATCAGAAATTATTTATTGTGTTCTATTGAAAAAGATCTTGAGCCTTGATAAATATTGCTAAGAATGGAAAGATGGTCATGTTACTATGATGTGCCTCAGCTTAGTAACTGTATAGGACAAGAAATTCAGGTAATCTTGCCGATGTGTTGGTAGACTTGTGCAGGTGATGCATGTTCTTTGAGAGTGATGTAAAATCCACCGTATTGGAATATAAAAGATCTGTGACAATAGTTGTCATACTTAAAAGCTGAGTGAGTCTTTAAAAACATTAAAAATAATGCAGAGCGTAAGACTGTATGATTTAGAATCATATGCAGTCAGGAGGTCAACATGTGCAAAGACAGCCTGTTCTAGCAACCTATTAGATGAATTAGGAGCATAAGAAGGTTTAAAGCTTTAAGGGAGATTATCCTGCTCTTCTCCACATGGCAGGCAGTGCTGATTAATGCTGTGTTTCTTTAATCTCAGGGTTTGTAGGTGAAAACACCCAACCAATCCCAGAAAACAACATTGGAAACAGAATGCTTCAGAGTATGGGCTGGACCCCTGGCACGGGCCTTGGACCGGACGGCAAAGGAATAGCAGAGCCAATACGAGCCGTCCAGAGACCAAAAGGACTCGGACTTGGATTTAGCTGACAGAAATGCACTCTGGCAGCCTGATAAAAATAAAGCTCAAAATTAATTTAACAAGACAAGAAAAAAGAAAAAAAAATAAAAGCAAACATATTATTTGTTGTGATCAGCAAATCCAGTTATTCTTCTCTTAAAGATCATTGAAGTCAATGTGCTTCACATTAGCTACACCAGCTGCAAGGTACAGCCACAGTGACAGAACTGGCAGTCAAGTCTAACTTTATAATGGTGCTAAAATATACAAAAACTTCTACTTTTTTATTTTCTGTGGTCTTAAAGTTTGTATTAAGCATAAAATTCAGTATATTCACTTTTTTTCATAAAAGCTTCTGACACAGCAGGTTTTAGTATATAAGCAAATTTTTTTTGTAACTATAATTTCATCTCCAAAGTCTTGATAAGATTTGTTGAAGGAAAATAGAACTTTTTACAGCTATTGTGTTTTCCCCCTTTTCAGGCAAAGTTTCCAAACCTGGTATTTCTAGTGTTAACAATATTTGTGGATAAGCTGTCATTTTGCCCATAAGATAGACACGTTTCCCACTGGAAGGTGATATGGTATGCAATTTTGTATGAGAGCATGAAAAATGGCTTTGTTGTCATAGGAATGCCATTCCAACACCATTATTTGGCAATGTATCACTGTCTTCCACGTTCAAGCTCAAAAGTAAAGCTTTTGTATTTGTTTTTACATTTACAGGATTATCTTTTTTCAGTAAATATTTTAAAAAGTTAAAGTTTATTCTGACTTTGGATTTCCCTTTATATTAATAATCCTCACTGTTTCCACACTTAAGAATAGTTTGAGCTTTGAACCAGGAAATTGTATTTTAAAGATGACTGTTTCAGTGTTTATACTCTGGGGTTTGGCATATTTTAAACAATGCAGTGTTCAACATCGTGTTAACATTTGGTTTGTGATCGTGCTGGTGCCAATGAGCCACAACCTTTAAGGATCATGAACAGAAAAAGGGCAAGGAGAAGGATTAGGGTGGAGGAAAGGAAGGAAAAAGATACTCTGACATCTCGCAAATCTAAGGTAGCAATTTAAAATCAAGAGGGATCATTAAGTGTTTTAATCAGTATCCTAATGTATCTAATGTCAGCAGAAGCAATTTCATTAAGCCCGAACCAATCAAGTTCCTAGGGTACTTATTGGTCTGCAGTATAAAACAAATTCCACTTTAAAATTAAATGATAGGGCTGAAGGAAACTGTTGTTCCGATGGAGTAAAGGGAAAATCCTGCCCTCCTCCCCGCCCACCCCTGTAGTAGCTGGCAATATTTACCCTGGCTGCAGAGGGAACAGGATTTGATTCTCCAGTCTTTTTTTTCTTCAAGAGGAGGATGTCTCCCATCCTCTGATACCAAACTGCAGAGAAAAATACTTCCTTGCAGATGCTTGCAAAGATATTTCCTTAGAATAAAAAGAGCACAGCTTCCTTCATGTGACCGTGAAATATAGTCATGAATTTTAAGAAGTATTTTTATTATTTTTCTTTTCCTCTCTCAACTTCACCCATTTTTCCAGAAAAATAATACGAGGAAAAGAAGAAGTAGCAGCATTATAGCATTGAATTTGCTTAAAAGAAATGTTCATGCTTCCCACTATGAGTACTGTCGGTTTGGGAACATTGTTTCACCATACACGTAGTGTAGAATAAAAGGTTAGTACCTGATATTGTTTTTAATGATAGCTGAATGCACATGTTCTCTGAGTTTCAGGAGAACTATTTATTGCTGTTTAAATACTTTATATGATTGTGTGGGTTTGCTTTTTAAAATGATAAGAAATTTTAAACAGACTTGGGATTTATAATCAATACATATACTTTTTATTGGAAGGTTTGGGGGCATAGCATAATGTGAGTTTGCCACTTCAAATATCTCTTGCACAACTAAACTGAGTTAAATACATTCCATATCCAAAGAATTTCAGGGCCACATAATTGCAAAGGGCTGAGAGCCTGGAATTCTGCAGCTAGCAGAGGTGCCCACTTGTATCAGTGTTATTTACAATAATGAACTTGTGGCATGCTCCCATTCTTTCAATGCAATGTGCTACTGAGAGCAAGTGAATTCTAAAGACCTCTTTGTATTTTACACCACAATCAAAAAATCCTTAAAATAATTTTAAACATGAGAATTGTGAAAGGGAATCTTTAAGTTCTGATTGTTCTAGCTCTATTTGCAAAACTGTAAAGGAATATTCATTCTTGGTTAAAATTCCATTGTTTTGCTTTCGTTACAATGTATCTTGGTCTGGAAATTCTAAGTATGGCACATATAACACTTGTTTGAAATATTTCTGTGCAATTTACTGTAGTAGTAGTTTCTCAAGAAGTCAGTCTGCAGCTCCAAAAGTACTTGAAAATGTTTCCTGTTCTAAAAAGATAAGAGGGAAATAATGGATACATGTTGAGAGAAAACCTCTTTAGCCCGTTCAACTCCTTATTCATCCATTAATACAGATACAGTGAAACAGCCAACCTAGTAAACAACCGTAATGGAAGAACTATTTAGTCTGCTTGGAAATCTTAGAACTTTTTGGTTTAAATCAGTCTATTAGTGAGAAACTATTAGACATTAAGATTAGTCAAATTGATTTTGATATAGAGATAGATACACTTTGTCTGTTTTCCAGCAGGTATTCTCACAGATGCCACAGCTGACAGTCAACTTTATCTGTTAGAAGCTGTAGAACAAAATGATTTATTAAAATTTTTTAATGTAGTGTTTTGAGATATTTTTTTGTTGTGGTAAAACTCCCATTCTGACTCACACTATCATTTCATTTCTGTTTTTCCACATCTCACAGGAGTGGTTTTAAAGATACTCCAGTAGTGTGATTTTGCACAGTTAAAAGTAGTGTTAAGAAACAAAACAAAAATGAATTGTACTTTTTCTCTTTTAAGCCATTGCAATGTTAGTTGGCTTTGAAACAGGTCAAAGTACTTTGATTTATTGGTGGTATTTTTTCTTCAGGTCTTTCCCATACCTAACTTGCAATCATACTGTGATACCTGCTATAAGGTTGGCTCACGTTACTTTAAAATACATATACAAGTATTTTCAGATAATAATTCTTAATGGCTGTGACACTGAGGGGTTTTTTTTGCCTACATAGATAAATACAGGATCATCTTGTATCTAAAAGTTACCATCCATTACTTGCCAGATTCTTTCCATTTAGGTGTTTGATTAATCAGTAGCTCAGCTGTTATCAGAATATTCTTCCTCTGCAGAATGTTTAGTGAAGAGAAGAGACATTATGTATTATCAGCGTTGCGTTTTGCTACATGTTCCATGGTGTCTCAAAGTTCTGTGAATTGAGCCATTAACTGTTAATAAAAGAAACCCATGAGCAGTATCTTATTTTTAAATAAATACTTGTCAAAGTCAGAGAAGCGTTATCGATATGCTCATTCTAACAAGTTTGTCCCTGCATTTGTCTTTCTGCAATTAGGTCAATAATGGGTGTAGAATGGCAGTAAATAGCTAAATAATATGTATAGAATGCTTTGCTTTAACAACACAAATGCAAGATGAAATAAAATAAATAGACTCCATTCTTCATGGGTTTTGTACGTTCTTTTCTTTAAACTGCCCTTTTCAATAGCGTTGTTATTGCACGGGTGAGTACAAAAACATGCTGTTTCTAGAAAATATAATTAAGGTGGCTAATATCTTGTACCAAGCAGATGCATATTATGCTAAAGCTATTATGCCACCTTATATGTACCTTTTTACTAGTACTTCTTTTCTCGGTTATTATGATCCAGCTGAAAAGGTTACACCACAACATCAGGAAATGCCTCGTTTAAGATGTTTGCAGTACTTTTGTTATCGTAGTCTTCTAAGACGTTTAAATACAAGTTCTCTTCACTAAAGAGTAAAATATGTGTATACTTTGATAACTGTGACAGGACCTTGTGCTTTCTCTTCAAACAGTTCTCCAAACCTGTTCCTCCAAGGAGAACTCACACAACCTTTGTTTTACTTTCCCTCTCCCCACGCTCCCCAGGGCAGTTTCAGTAAAGGCATATCAGAAGTGGGGATCCCTTGCCTCTTACTCTAGAGTCAACAGACTTTTTAATTAGACTTTCATCCCTAGCAGAATTTTCAGGAGCAGTGGCATAGTTAGCACACAGCAATTGCATAACCGAGTTACCCACAATAGAGTCCCATACCTAAGGGCAGTGTGCGTGTTCAGTCTGAAAAAACACAGTCCAAATTATTTCTTTATCGACCTGTAGTCCAGCTGCAAAGCTAATGTAAAATGTTAAATGAGAAGATGGCATTTTAAAAGATTGTTATATGTTTTTGCTTTGAATTTTCCCTGGAAAAGGTTTTACTGCGGTCAAGTGGGTTTTTTTACAGATACAGTATTTAAGATTGGGATTTCCCCCCCCCACCCCCACGTCCTCTCTATACCAGAAGAAGTCTTGGAGGACGTGCAGCAATTCCAGCATGGATATTCTGCTTGCCTCAAGGGGGGGGGGCGGTGCTAAAAAAAACTATGTAAAAACTTTACCAGCGTAGATTGATACAAGCTGTATCTACTCTCTGCTAAGCTATAAGAGAGTTGTCCAGTAAAACTATCAACAACGTTTTTAATGTAAGTGTGCTTTAAGTTGTAGTGGAAAACTTTACAAAAGCAACAGAAGTTTCATGATTGACTGGTAGTAAGTAACTCTAGTGGAAATGTTTGGGCTTCCTATGGTTCTCTTCTGTCCTATGACAAAACAGATGCTGGAGGTGTTTTGACCGTGATGGTATATTGCTTGTATTTGAATATTCAATCTTTAAGTAAAAGGTTGAAAATCACTGCAATTCTGTAAACTTGATCTTCTGCACCTATGAGAACTGTGGTTATTAACAGCTGTGAAAAGTGGTTTGTATTTAATAAGAGGTATTCCATCTCTAGAAAGTTACGATTTTGGTCTGACTGCTTATAGCGTTGTTATGATTAATTTAAGTACTGAGGAGCCTGACTTCTGAAACTGTGAATATAAGTCATTAGTCTCTGAGGAATGTATGTTTTATTGTAATATATTTACACTGATTAAATATGCGAGCTTATTAAAATACTATCTTTCAGAATATTTGATCATAGATATGGTCAGTTTAGTTGTGCCTTGTCCTTAGTGTTGTCTTTCATCCTTAGTATTTGTCCATTTTTCTGAAAAGGTATAATCCTATATATGTTTTAAGTGATAATACCCAATGTTTTCTCTCTTGAAGTGTAATCTCACATATGTGCTAAGTGATGCCATTCAAGATTTTCTATCATTTCTACTAGTCTAGTGAAGCTGCTTTTCAGTACCTCCCTAGGCCAGTTTTCTGAGTGGCCTACTGTTGCCTTCGTTAGTTGTTGTAAGAGATTTTGACACTGAAAACTTGAAATTTCTTTAGCCTGGGCAGGCTGTCATGTTGGCGCCTCTCTTTCCTGTGGTCCCAAGCCGATGAAGACTGGAAGATATGTGATACTTTCTGCACATAAATATCTCCATTGACTTCAAGATGTGAAGTACTACATAGGTCTAAAAATAAGCATGCATGCAAGTGTTTGCAGATTGGGGCCTTAACTTCCTTCCCTGTAAAAGATACGGGTCCTAAATTTTCCATGGCATCAGAGTTCCCGCAGACCCCTGGAGTCAGCTGCCTCTTTGCTGGATAGTGCTGGCCCATCTTCAGCAAGGAGTTTCTTTAGAGCACCTGTTTGGCTGCTCTAACGTATAGGTGGCTTGTGGTTAATGTCGGTCTGTCTAACCTTTCAGTACCAAACGCGGTACATCCCAGCAGTGCAGGGAGTCAGGGTGCCGTTTCAGTCTGCAATCTCTCCATTTTGCACAGCTCGAAATAACACACGACGAACTGCTCACACCAGGCTGTCTGGGACGCAGCTGACACCATCAGGCCGTCAGTCTAGTACTGGGTAGTTGATTCTGTATGTGTTATGTAGTCTTTCATTCCAGCAAAGTAACAAGAAAAGGGGGGGGGCGGGACACAACTATAAAATGTTTTCAATTCCAAAAGGCTATAGCAGAAAAGTATGAATTGTAGATAATGGAAGGGATCAAAATCACTTCTGAGGCTATGATGCAATGAGAAATTTGAAATCTTTTGTAAATTTAGGGGCAGGCGAGTAAGGGAAAACGTCCATCAGAAGTATGCAGAAGGAAAATGTAAATGTCCTAAGTAATATTTTCTCCAATTTACAAAAAAGGTGTCAAAGTGTTTGGCAAAACAGACTCAGTGTTTTGACCCACCTTTGAAGGATGCTGGCAATTTTAGTACCTGAGGTAAGTTAAACTTCTCATACATCTACCACTTTGAATCCTTCAAACTTTCTCAGTGAGTCAGCTTATTCTACATTTGTCCGCTCTCAAACTTCCTCCATCTTCTTCTCAAGCATCTCATGTTGTTGGTGCTGGACCTCATATTGCTCCTTGCTTGTCCATTTCCAAGAGGGGTTTTTTCTGCTTTAATGAGCTGTGATTTTTTTCATTCAGCTTCCTTGGAAATTGCCTATAATGTGGTTTCAACTTATTATCCTATAAGGTAGATTTAAGTGATGCGAGGAGATTCTTTGAAGAATCAGGACAAATGGGTTTTGGTTTTCCTTCCATAAAATGTTTCTGCATTTAGATCGTTGATTTCTCTGAAGACCCTTACTGCTGTTCACTATACTCCCATAGGTTTCTCTCTTGCGTGAACTTGGCGGTTTTCTTACAGAATATTGTTGTGGAGAGCACAAGAATTTTTCCAGTTGCATTTGCAAGTATGCAAATTTTCAATTTTGTGCTTTTGGTTTCAAGTCTTAAGAGTTAAGTTTGAATTCCACACGAGTTGCCTTATTTTTTTCCAAAATGTTCCAGATTACCTCAAGTATCTAGATGTTCTGCCATTTGTGAAGAAAGTGGAGTATTTATCTAAAATTTTCTAAATGCCAAACTCTCAGTATATGTGATGCTGGCCCTCTCATTTCTGGTAGTAATAGATATGATCTACAACATAAACCATACATATGTAAGTATAGTTAATACAAGATGTAAAAATTTCATGAACAAGAATACCAGTGTGATACTCAGTATGTTAATTTGATTAAACTCAAATAGTTCCAGTATCTGAGAGAACACATTAATAATCTGTTATAGATTTCTTTTTTTATATGCCATGGTATGCCTTATTACTGAAATGAGAGATTTTGAGAGTGAAGCAATAATAATTTTAAGGGTTTTCTTAATATGATGTAAATAATAAGTAACACAATTACCAGGTTGCCTTTATACTCATTGTAGTGTGTAAGTTGATTTATTTTTCATCTTCTTTTTGTCAGTGAGCATATGAATGCTAGTGAATTACAGTTCTTACTAACTGAATTTGGGCAATTTCTACCCATTACCCACAAAGATAGGTCAGCTGCTAAACAGTAGCTCTTGGCCAGGAATTCGATAGAACAAGAAGTCTGGGCAGGAATGTTGCCACTTGCAAAAGTGTTGGAACAGAAGAATTTACCATCTAGAGACTCCTCTCACCTTTCAACCTCTATGTTGTACTTACCTGCAGTTTTCCCAGTAGGCACAGGGTTTTCCATGATGAAGGTTCATGGAGAAATGGTGTAGGTATTCAGACCTGCAAACTAGTCTCAGCACTTGATATTTGCCTGTTACACATGTTTATTGCTAATACTGAGAAGTATTCCTCCCGTAGCTGGGTTCTCTTTTGAACATCCAGGGCCATGAACGCTATCGGGGCTTCTGGTGAGCTGGTAGTAGAGGCACTTTGCACTAGATAGGCTGCCTCTGATTATGACTCTCTCTCTCTGGCTTAGATTTAATAGAATAAAATCTGTATTTGCACAATGGTGTGCCAAATTCATGTCTTCAGAGGAAAAAAATCCACTCCTTAGAATCAAGCTACTCTCATACGCTATCTAGACTCCATATTCATCCAAAAAGTAAGAATTTTTGTGTCAGAGAATGTTTATTCAGCAAAATCTAATGTTTTGTGGAATTGTGCCTTTTCCAATAAACTGTGGCCAAGACGCAGTGTATTCCAGGGGTTATTCAGAGACCAGATTGCCACCATCTTCAGCTCTGGCTTTACCAGGCCCCCTCCATAGGCCAACGGCTCAGAGTCAGGCTCCCTCCTGGAAAATTAAAGAGCCTGGAAGCCTTGACAATTTGCAGCCCCTGAAACCTTCTGGCTTCAGGCCCCGCAGCGAGGAGGTCTCACAAAGTCTCTCCAGACTTGCACGATCCCCATCACAGAGCAAAGACGTGGAAAACCTGAAATCGCCGCGTGGCTTTTGTAGTTCTGGCATAGCCCAGTTGCTGGAGGCCGCCCTGGCACCAGTTTCCATGCTCCCGGTTCAGGAGGGCCTGGGTGAGGAGGCTGGGGAGGGAGGACTGCCCAGGCTTCGTGCCGGGGAGCTGCGACGTGGGCAGGTCTAGAGACTCCGGCTGTGCGGCAAGGCCTTGGAGCACCAGCTCAACGAAGCAAGTACATTTAGA